TAGAGGTTGTTAGCTACTTTTAAGTAGTTAAATTTAAAATTATAATTTTATTCAGTATACCGGGATGGAAAGACTAACTTCAAGTAGCTGGGCTTGTCTCGGCTTTCCCGTGTTTTACTTGAATAAAGTTTCAAGAAGATTGGAAATATGAACTACGTAAGAAATATAAAGGTAGAGCTTGTAGTTCTATTTAAGATACACTGCTGAAGTAACAGTAATGATGATTCCAGGCAAAGTTAATAGTACAGTGCCATATGTGGTGTGATGGAAACACTTATGTTATACCATTAAAATTTATTCTACTGAATTAAGTTAATAGCAAATATTGAATATCAGACTCAATTCCTCTCCTCACATGTGATATTAGTTCGATATAAACTAGTTGTGTAGTTGACGACAGTGATTAACTTAATGTTCATCTTGTTTTAACCAGAACAATGATCTTCAACAAAGGCAATTAATTACAAGAGCTATCCTGGAGGCTTGTAACTACAATGACTAATTTGTGTTAACTTCTACTCTGTATTATTGAAAGTTACTAATAGAAGTTTACTAACTTGGATTGTATTCATTAAATGTAACAACTGTTAGTCTAATAAATATTTTATTGTTACTAAGTTGTTTTATTTCTTTCACTTTACTGTAAGCATTACTTAGAATTGAGTAGGCTTATGCAATCCTTGCTTGCTCAAAATTTATATAGTTGGCATAATCCACACCTCACTTGTTAAATCAAGGGATACTGATGGCACTAAAAAATACAACTCTGTCAGGCATAAGAAAAAACAGTTTTGACTGAATAGTGACTACGTGGAAAAGCACAGCCTACTTCCTTCCAATCTCAGATTTTAATCTCTTAACATCAGCCTTAACAACATTGTTGATGGTTACAACAGTGCAGCAAGCTTAGCTAGTTTTGAATGTAAACAGCTTATTTTCTCTGAAAGCAACAGCTCCATCATTTCTCAAATCAGACTGACAGTTTTTACAAAACATCCACTCAATATGAATCAAAATCTATAATTTTGCCTTATTTCTGAACAAGAGGGGATAACTCATCCAACACTAGGTAGTCATGGAACAAAGATGTTTGGTTTCCATATTCACAGTTCTGAGTCGCAAGCTGGAAAATCAACAACATTGGAAATGTCCTATAATCCAATATATACTGTATCATACTGTCAATTAGACAGACACATCATGCTCAATGAGGAAAAAGCCACAAAAGTGTATATAAAAGTAGAAATGATCAAAGTTACACTATATAGTTTGACCACTTCACATTGTTACAATAACTTTACCGTACAAATTATGTGGTTCTATACATCCAAAATAAACTAAAATAAGATTTAAAAGTTCAGGTCCTTTAACATCCACAGTCCAGTTCATTTAATAAGGCTGACCACACAAATATGACAATAGAAGCTGCCATTGAATATAACATGAAACATACAACAGGTATTGGTATAGAATAGGAAATATTAACAGAGTTCCCTACAGTTCCTGTTGTCCTCATGAACTATCCCACTCTTTGCAAAATGTAAGGATGAAACCTGAAACAAACTACAAAAAACAACAACATAACTGACACAAACATACCCTCCTTTGATTGGATTACAAAAACAATAAATATTTATTAACACATAAATGACTATAAAGTCCAGGTGATCTTTTGTGACATGTAAAATTGAGGTTTCATTCTGGGCAGTGTGGTTTTTTACTGCTTTTATTTCATGGTCCATCAGCAATCTTTAATATGCAGCTGTTACTGTTCAACAGTAAGATTGTTATTGCAACTGTAAAATGATCTAAAACTAGAAAAAAACAAAATAAAAAGAGTTCTGACTAATCCTAGCTTGAACTATGTGCCAAAAGATACTTCAAAAAGAATGAAGGTGATAGAAATAAAGTTTCATAAGATTGCTGTACAGGTTTAGTGTTTTATGTTGGGTTGCATACAATCTTTGCTTGGTGATGTTTAGTGAAAAATAACATTTTTTATTTCTACCTGAAAAGGTTTACAAAATGACTTACTCAAACTTCTTATTGGACTCTTGTAATTTTTAAGGCAATGGATTTCTGGAGCTGAGTCTATCAAATGTTCTTATAAACTTAACTGTGGGCTCCCTTCCCTTAAAGTTAGGGAAGATCAAATGTTCGTATCAAAATTATATGGCATCTGATACACTTGGTTTGAGCTGCAAGGTTTACTTTCATTTCTTGCTTCTGCCTTTGAATGTGTATTGATTGCAATTTATTTTATAGATGTAAGCCTTTTTCTTCTGGCAATTTGTGCAAACTAGTAATGAACGTTCATTTACAATATCCACCATTTCCACTTTTTAAAATTTTCTCATGTGTAAATATGTTTTTAATGAGCTTTAGCATATGATATATATCAAACTTAACATAAATTTTGCATTTCTTTGGGATACAGTGCAAAAACCATAAATGTACGTTTTCTGACACCATATTGGCACCCACTTCTTTGAACACGAAGAAGTGACAATAAAGACCATCACAAACAAGTGCCACAGTTGTAATCTCAACATGTGATAGTTTTGTAGTTATGTATTTTTATATATTCTCATCTAGTTTGTTTCTTCTTGATCTGTTAAGTTAATAATAAAGTTGCTGTTTGCAAAAACAACCATGAACACCAATACATTACTGTCAAGAGGAGTT